TGTCCTGTTTGATCTTGAATTCTTCATTCTTTTGATCAGCCTTGCGGTTGCGTTCATCCTGTTCCTTACCATTGGTTCCTTGTTCAACGGATTCTTTGACCTCCTTCTCCTCCCCAGTCTTTTCAGTCTTTTGCCTCTTCGAAGACGCTGCAGACCCGGTGGTACTGGCAGATTGCTTCAGCATGCGACGAGCTGAAGGGCTGGCAAATTTTGGCTTCACTGGGCTGGTCTCACTCAATTTTGGTTTCTTCAAGGGCGACTCTATCTCGATCACTTCTTGTTTTGCATCCTGGCCACCCGATCCAGGCTCCACTAACTCAACAACTTCTTCAGTCTTCTCCTCCTGCCCCTTTCTTGTCTTTGCTTTTGACTTGGCCTTAGCCTTAGCCTTTGCACACGAAGCCGCCTCAGTCTTTCCTCTCCCTCTTCCTCTTCCTCGACCCTTGCCCCTTCCTCGACTCTTATTCGTTCCTGCCTCTTCCTCCTCCTCTGCTTCTGCCGCATAAGCCTTATCAGGATCCTCTACATCATTTCCCTCGCGTTCTCCTTCTTTCATCAGCTTTCGTAGTACCCGCTGTGCCTTGCGCTATATGTATCACACGCACATGCACACGTGCGCACAAGCAATAGCCCAAACCGTGATCGTGACATTGCTGAACTTGTGTCATGAGAGCTACCCCAACATCGCATCACACGTGTCTTTTATTGATTAGAAAAGAACCAAATTAATATGCTCAGACTTGATCTCCAATATGTGCCATGTGAGCTGACAGGCCTTCAAGATTTCATCACCAAATTCTTTATCCGTGGACCCCTTCTCTTCCTCCAATGCCTTCTTGAAAGCTCCCTGAATCTCCGCAGGAATCTCTGGCGTTGGAACCAGGGAACCACGTTCCTAAGCACGTCGCGCCGCATGCATGCATGCACGATATTGGTCATAAAAATTAATTGATCAATTAATTGATTGACGCATGTGCCATGCAAATAGCAAACTACATTGTGTGTGTACCACACTGCAACTGAACAGATCACGCCATTCAACCCACGCAAATCTCATCATGATACAATGCGATGCGCTTGTTAATTAAGTCATCATTTGGGATTATAAAAACCAAACCTTCCATTCGCATCAACAAGTGCACTTATACATCAAACAACTAGGCTAGTATATAATATATATATAAAATCTGCCAGGGCACCTTGTATGTAGCACCTGCTCTAGCCTCCTCCCCTTCGCTGCCCAATTCCTCCTGCAAACGTTCTGTTTCTTCCGCAACCTGTTCAAGCAGCGATTCACCTGCTTCCTCAGGAACATCTGGTTTCCTCCCTGGCTCACTTGGCAGTGGATGGATTGGGACCTCAACATTGGGCAGTACGGCTTCAGGGCTTGGCTCCACTGGCTTTGGGATGGGGTTTGGGGGCACCACCAAAACTGGCTCCCCTGCATTCCGTGCAACTTCGGGTTCATCATTGGGGGCATCATGCCCAATCCTTTTTGGGTTCGGTGACATCACGCACTCATCATCTGAAGTAATCTGTATCGTGTCATTGTCCTGGAAGACCGACTCATGTTCTGACTCCGAATCAGACACTATACTTTCCACTAGATCAAGACATGATTTGGCACATGCCCTGGACAAAGCAGCAGTAGGCTCAGGAGAATTCAAGGAGTTCATCCGCTGAATGGGTGAGTAGGCTGGCTCTTCCGGGATCTGGGAATCGGTCCACTCCATTGACTCTGTCTTCGCGGTGTCCAGATTCAACTCCTGGCGTCGTTTCGGGTTGTTACACATTAAACGATCGCACAACATCTGATATATTCATCACTCAAGCTTTGAAAGCAAACAATAACATGTAATAGAATAGATTTTTAAAATTTATATTATAATCTATATAATATAGTTGGTAGACTTCCATTCTTATAACATGATGACGCCACAACACACACAATGTACTTTCAATTGATGCTGTCCTCCTTTTTTCTGGACATCCCACGTCCCCTGGATGCAACACGCTTCCCCTCCGGAGTAAGCAGATCATGTGCCTGTGCCCGCCAAGTGTTGTAAAAATGAAAATACACGAATTCGAACGCATTAATTAATTCAGAAATTCATGCATTCATCGTTTTTCTAACAAAAGCTCACATTGACAGCTCTCACAGAAACCAACCCTGAATATCTCTGAATCAATGAATGCTAGCTTGCATGAACTCATGAACAGTCATGAACACATGCCTTCAACTTCGCCTTGATAACATCTTTGATGCTTTCGCTCCGAGCAGGCCCAGACCTTTGCAACACATGAATTAATGATGCGTCGCACATCATGCAGCATTCATGCATGCGTGGTTTGTGTGCAACATGGAAAACAAACATGTTTAGTACATTGCAAACGCGTTTTAGCATCCAATCAGGATTTGATCTGAGTTCATGGCCGTGTCCCTGGGTTTCTTTGAAAGCGGTCCATGCAGTACGATCCAACCTTGTACATCAGGCCAGCCTCGACTTTAGCCCAGTCCTGCGTGCGTTGTCCGCAGGCTTAGGCCCCCAAGGCAGAAAGAGGCATCGCTTGAGCAAATACTGTTCAAGATGCTCCTGGTGACGGTCCAGCTTTTTCCAGGGGTTGAGCTTGAAGTGTTGGGAACACCAAGTAAGCGCCTCCTAGCAATCAAGTCTCCCAAGTAGTACATGTAGTCACACATGTTGAATACTAGCTGGTTGAATTTAAACAAGGTATGATGCACTTCTCTCCTCCAGCTCCCGTTTCCGAGGTAACTGGTGCGCAAAACTTGCCATGTACTGTAACACCAGCTCATAGTTGTGATCACTCTCAACCTGGCAGTTCCGGATCACACAGTGATACCAGCTAGCTGATTTGTTGATGCATCGATCCAGTTCACTCGGTTCATTCAATTAATTGTACAGAATGCAGCAAATTTGGTAGTTTAGACAGGCCCTCATGCCTCATGCTCACCAATGTGCTTACCTTCCAAGACCACGAAGCGAAACTTTGGAACCTCATTGGCTGGTGCATCACATGGCGGTATGAACACGACATGATCAACAGGAAGTCTTTTGAACAAATGCTGTGCATGCATGCGTGCATGCATGTGAATTGAATGAAGTTGCACACCATCGCATGGTGGTCCCTCGACTATAAAGCACATGCACATGCATTTGACATGATTTGCAACGCAAACGAATCTCTATAACATTGTGCAGATGGCTTGAGGCCTGAACTAGATGCCTGTCAGAATCCTTGAGCCCAGCCCGTGTGCGCAGAGCTTTCCTTCTTTGGTGCATGAAGTCGTCATCGCTGCAAAAGGTGCGGAGGAACTCCTGTCGATGATGAGCGCGCACTTCTATAACACAAAAATAGGCCAGGTTTTTAGACAAACATATCGATCGATCTAGCTCACACTCATGAGGCTGCTTGAATTAACAAAAATGCCACTATTTTGGGGTTTATCACATTCCCTCCTTCACCAAATTCACCTGGTGCGGGTCCAACTTCTTGCTCACATATGCTGGAGCATCCATCGCGTCACACAGGAAAAAGGATCGTGCGGGTACGACAAGGGCCTTCTTGTGACCAAGGGCGAGTGAGTGAATGGTGGTTTTGAACCATGCAGAGCAGATCGTGTACACCAGCCAAAGTCACACACCTGTCGGACCAAAACAATTGCAAAGCGTTTCTCAACCATCAGCTTCAGCGAGCGTGTGTGCAGACTGGCTGACTACTTATCCAAATAGGTCTCTTTCTTTCAATCAACTCGACAACTCGATCAATCCAAAACTGAGAGAGAGAGAGATCTAGAGAGAGAGAGACATATGGCCAGGATGGGGCGCACCCAAGGCATCCGTGTTGATGATGTCGTCTCCATTCTCACGCTCCAATTGGCCTTGATCAAAGACGACTACCCATTGGTTTGACCACCCATTTGATGCCTGTTCGGTAGCTAGCAAAGTCTAAGCTTAGGGCATATGGCCAGTGCTCGCTTCATCCCACAATGGCCAGTTGGGACCGAATAGATTGAACAGGGTAACAGGATCTAGACTGGAACACTGTTGCGAATACTTAACTGACAACTATGCAGGCCAACCTGCTCATGAGATCTCATGAGGTCATATCCAACCACATCTACATCCGATAAACGTCCAAACCCCCATGTGGGGCTTGCAAAGGCTGATCTAGCCTGGGCCAAAAAATGCCCCAGCCAAGCTCCAGAATGCATGAAAACCTTCCCAATCTGAGATCTGTACCTGGGCCGGAGGATGGTAACGTCAAACAAAGGTTGTTTGTAAGAAAGATAAGGTCGAGGTGTAACCACCTTTGTTTATAAGGTCGAGGAAGGCGAGGGCACAGTGTTCGGGGCTCGTGGGAGCAGCGCTTTCAAAGCCCGTGGTTGGAACTTCCAACGAACCACCCTTGAAATCCAATATTACGAAGGCTCTGCCACGCAAATGTCTTGCAAAACACATGGATCTGAGCTTTTGACCCTCTGTTCCACCCGTCCGTCAATTCAACTCCGTCACCCGGAAGTTGTTGGTCCGCTTTCTGATACCTTGAAACAACATGAACCAACGACCAATTCGGCACCGGTCTGGATGCCACACCTACGATTTGCTTGGGACCCTGAGCGACCGTCCGTCCGTCACGCGCACCAGCCTTTGTGCGCGCCACCCCCCCGTTCGCCAAAGACGGTTCGACCTTTCAAGGAGTTCGGTTGGCCTGTTGTATACGTCAAACATAATAATGGTTCCTTCGGGATTCCCTAGGAGTCAAAGACTATAAAAAGAATGGTCTGACTAGGGGACCTGAAAGGGAACTTCCTGAAACCTTCAGCCGGTCAAAATATAGTCTTTGGACTTCTTCGGGATTCAGAAGCCCAAACGAGACCACCGAGCCCGCCACCGCGGACCCGCCGAGGCGCGGGCTTTGAGCGCGGAAAGCTCCGACCGTCGAGCACCGTGAAGGACGCGTGTGCGCACGACGCGCGCCTGGGAGGACCTTCCAAAGGATGGTCACCGCATCCCCACTGAACTTCAAAACGTCCCCACCGTAGTCTGCACCGGAGTTCGCGAGCGGGCGGTTGGTTTCACCCAAGGTTGGATGGGAGGGGGATGGAGATGGGATAGACGCACATGCTTGCATGTGGGAAGTCGATGTGAGGGGGATGGGCCCCCCCTATTCTTTCTGAGAATCCATGGGACTGCGAGGGTTTGGACCCTGCATTTTGCAGGGTTTGGACCTTTCCAAACCCTCAACTCTTGAGGGTCCTTGATTCTTAAGGTGACATCTTTCGGGAGAATTGCTCCCCGACCGGCGGGAAAAGACCGGCTTCTCGGAGGGTGGACATCGAATCGTCGACAGTCACTCGAGAATCCATGGCGCCACAGAGTGAATCCCAAGCAAACTGCCCCTCTTTTCAGGAACCAGGCGCCCGGTTCCGTTCGTTTTTAGGTGGCGCACTGGTCGGACTATAGTGGAACCTACTGTTACGCCTTTAGTATAGGGACTATATAGTGGTAACTGGATCACCCCTCGAACAGGGGAAGATTTTGCCGAAGAATCCAGGGAACCTGTCGGGAGCACAGGAACAAGGCCGAAGGGGACTCGGAAGGATGAGTTTGCAAACACGCCGGTACGGGCCACTCGTGGCCGCCTTCCTTCAGTCGGGATGGCATGGTTATCTGCTCGATCCACTCACGCAGATGGTTGGTCATGGCTAGTCTGGTGACTGTAGGGGTGTGCCCAAAGAATTCAGTTCAGCATCTGGGTCAGATCAGCAGCTGACCCATGACGCAATAGGAGCTTCCGGAGCTAGTCTGGACCAACCCCATGTGACATCATCCGGCCTATGCCGAAAAGCGACCGAACATGTATGGAATGAACCTTCCATAGAACCCAGACACGACTAATGGGACTACCATATGCCGCCCCATTGCCCCCCCAAAACCACTCCAACTGATCGGCATATGGAACGTCTGGAATGAACCTTCCATGTAGAAGGTTGAGACGGACGGCCCCAATATCGTGAAGCTATACCTTTCACTATACTCAAGCTACCTTGGCCCCAACGAACTGACACTGAAGTTAGGGTGGGATGAGGGCATTGAATCCCTCCAACTTGCCTGGGGGTTGACGCAGGTGGATCAGAAGATGTGCCAGTGTCAACCCATGGTTGCCCAAGAGGACTTCTTCTGTGCCTATAGTAGGAGTAGGAGTCTTTGCCTCAATCTTAACATTCTTCACGTTTGAACGTACATGTCCGTGCCACTATACTACATCATGCGCATCATATCAAGAAATCCATACAATGAACCACCTGAACACATCAAGAAGCCAAGGTTTGTGTCATGATGGCTCATCTTTGGTCCAAGAAGCGAGTGATGATATCGATGAGCGTCCCAAAGAAACCGTTCAAACAGGAACCAATCTCTTCAGCCTCAGCACATTCATACTGTCTGGTTTTTGACTCCCAACTACAGGGACCTGCACAGAAACTGGTCTATGTTTCCCTGTAAACCAATCCATGTGGGGAAGCCAATCACAACGTATGTTCGTCGCCATAATGCTTGCGCCGTCCACAGACCGGTCGACCGCATAGATCGGTCCAAACAAGAGCCGTTGGCATGTTCACTGCCAGAAACCAACTATGGCTATGGCGAAAGAAACAGAGATAGTTACCCCCCAACTTCCCTGGTAAATATTGGAACACATGTCAAACAACTGCCCAGGCTTTCTGGGCAGAGCCGCCACCCAAAAGAAGAGTCTTACACCAAAAGCTGAAAGATTGAAGGACATTACAGTTACGTTGATTCCAGTCTATAGTTCACTAGTCTCATGACAACCGACAAGCCCTGTTTGATGGTCCATAGTTACGAATCACCCACCCTCCCCTCACTCAGTCACCCCCAAATGCTCTGATATTGGCCATGAAAACCACCCCAAAACCATCAAACGTTGGCACCAGACATTTGCAGTCATACGTCACAATGAAAACCACGTCACAACGTCGGCACATGAAAAAAAAGTCGGCACATGCCACGTTTCTCACTTTCTCCTTCACCCGCTATTGGTCGCCACCTGGGTGGTACCACACTGGGTGGTCAGAAACGTTCTCCTCTCTCCCCAGCCCTCGCCCGCCGAGCGTCGCCGTGGGGCTGCTTCGCCAAGGCCTCGGTGAGCGCGGTGAAGCCGCTGGCGTCCGCGAAGACCACGCAGGCCTCGAAGAAGCCCTGGCCGCGGCGAAGTTCGGCGGTGAAGTGCAGCGGTGTAGTGCGGCGTGGCAGCGGTGGTCCGGGGGGGGGCTTGGGAAGTGCGAAGACGACGAGTCTCAAAGTACTTCAGAACGGTAGAAGTTACGAGTACCTGCTTTTTTTATGGTGATTGATGTCCCATTTTCTAGGGTACTTGGGAGGGTCCAGGTAGAAAGTCCCACAACATTCTGACCGTTGACCCATGGTCGGCCACCCGCCAGATACGGGTGGCGTTTGGGGAGCTTGGACCAAGTGACACCGACACCGAGAAGCTGGGCATTGCGCCGGTGTCAGTGTGGATGCGCCGGTCGTTCTGAGGTATCGCTATGTATCGCTCTTCCAGGTTCCCTGTCGCTACCACTGCCAGAATGTTGAGCAGAATGTTTGCCAGATTTTATACTCTGACTCACTAACACGAAGTGGAAAATCCCCTGTTTGTAAAGGAAAGTAGTCTTTGACCAGTTTTTCAGGATTGGTCAGTGACCACAGAAGGAAGGTCCTCACAACCCTGGCGGTTGTCACCTCACCACCGTTGCCGGCTCCGTTGGGGTCTGGCCTTGAGCGCCCCAGCCCAACGAACTAGATTAGGACAGGTTTTTGGATGGCATGCAAATCTATTTCTTGGATCTTCCAACTATGCAACATTCAACATGTCATATTTTCGGTACTTCAAGTCAGGTCCAGCTTTATTGACCCCCTAAGGCCCTAGGTTTTTGGAGCCGTCCTTTTTTTCTCCATCTCTTGCCGTACGGTGGTTCACCGTACGGGAAAGCTGCTGAAAAAAATAACGGTCTGACCGTCTGAACTTCGCCTGTAATTACTGGTGACCACCCCATCCATCTGCTGCTTTTCTTGCCTTGGTGGGCTTGTACTCGCCGTACTTCCCCTGAATCGCTTGATGAAAGTCCTCCCGGCAGATCATGCCTGCCAAAATTCCATCGATGAGGAATCGTTCCTTCGTTCCCCGACGAAGATCGAGCGTATGGGTATCCTGGTCGGTGGTATGGCTGGTGGCTTGGTGTTTCTTGGATCGTGGTTTGGAGCGTTGCGGAATGGAAAATAGCGGTGCAAGTCGAGGGATGCAAATGTCCAAGAAACTCTGAAAGTTGACTTGTGATTGTCTGAATGGAGGTGATCTCTGGCTCCTAGCCCTTGACTCGCAAGGAAAACACCCTCGACACTGCCTGGAGATGAGGTGGGTGGCAACAAAAACCAGGCGAGGTCGTTCCAATGCAATGTAGGCCGAGACACCAGCTAGTATCCCAAACACCGTGTGCACTCTAAAACGAAGCGGCCTGGCAATCTCTGACTTGGTCAACTCCTGTCACGATTCCACCCTGTGCCCAACAGTCTATTTTTGGGAGTTGCATAAGAGAGTTCGCCCAAAGTGGTTTCACACAAATTAATTATATATCCTTCAACCGGACTTATACTATAGACATTACTATAGACTTCGTCCAAGCATCTCGTGCCAGGCTGTTGGGGAAATACGGATTAGTGGCGGCTCCCCATGCCATCGGTAGCAACCAAAACAGCTCCCCATGCCACCCGGATTCACCTAGGAACCGGGAAGATCAGCATCACCTGAATACCGCCAAAGCAAGAAACCCACCTGTCTGATCAAGCAAGCGAAGCAAGTGCGGAACAACAACTAGTGAGAACATCAGAATGAACATCCGCCTCACAGACCACATCAATTTCCGGATCAGAATCTGCAATGACTTTGCTTTGACTTGTGACATGCCAGGAGATTTGCTTTCCTCACCAAGGGTGCCATCTATACCTCGACCCTCCAGTGTGCACCCTAGAACATGGGACATGCCCTTTTCAAAACAGGCACTTAAGGTACTTCCTTTAAGGACCTTTAGGAGTACTTTGAGGGTGTCAAAGGACCAACACGTGTCGCCTCTTGTGGGGATGCCTTCTGATCCAAACGCCGCATCCATTTTTTCAAACGCCTGCACTCTGAGCCTTTGGCCCTTGTGCTGTTTTCTTTGTCACGTAAAAACGCTGCGCGGCGCTTTTTGGGTCGCAGCGTAGACCGCATGAACAGGATTCGCACCAAGTCATTGTGTTGGGTGACACCTTGGGCCCAGTGGATGATGATGATGATGATGATGATGATGATGATGATGATGATGATGATGATGATCAGTAAAGGCCATCCTCACAAATAGTGATAATCAAATTTTGTTTTATCTTTTACAGGTCATGGGAAACACACAAATATGAGGTATATGCGGCTGCTGCATCATGTTGCATCATCAGATTCTTCTGAGTCTGTTCCCCCTGTCAGCATGGGAACCGCCTCCCCCACTGGACCAATGGGAACCGCCTGCGAGAGAACTCACACCAGTGACACCAGGTAAAGGAGAGCCTTTTTCAAGCCTGGATTGCGTTCTGGAACAGGGGGTGAGCAAATCTCAGTGTTCCATTCGTTGCAGTTTGTTGACAAAGACTTGTATGAGCTGAATGCTTTCATCACGCTAAATCCTTTGAAGTCGAATCCACTGACTCCCTCAATTTAACTGGAAAATACCCTGGATCATCCTGTCTGAGTGTCCTGGCTAGACTACCCTATGCTCCAGGTATGCGCTCCAGGTATGAAATATTGTTACCCCATTCGAAGTCAACGACGGATTGGTGCCGCAACGCGGCGCAACCCCGAGTCGTGTTCAGTCAACTCCAGTCAGTCAACTTCTGTTTAAATCGCCGACTGGAGTGACTTCCAGGGTTTCTTCCCTTCGGGGTGTGTATCATATACTCCTCAGAGGTGATTCGGGGTGTCCCAAACCACCGGGCGATTTCGGAAGGTCCTGGTACCCAGTGTCACATGTCGGGGTGGTTTTTAGTCCCATGGGCACCCCTCCACCTGCGATTTGATTCGTGGCGATTCCATGTTCAGCTCCACCCCTTGTGGGTGGTGGCTGAGTTCAGCTTAGGTGCGATCGGAAGGATCCGGATCACCTGTGGTGTTTTCGACACGATCAGGCGGGATCCTCCAAATGACGTCTTCTCCCGTCGACGCGACCCCGAACCTCTTCCTGTCTCCCAGACCCGAGTCCTTCGGTGTCTCCCGGTCCCTCACACCCCGCCCCCGGGTCGCGTCGTCGGGAGCTGGTCCGAGACCAACGAATTCGTGCACCCACTCTGTGGACTTGAGCTGTCTTCATGGATGAAACAAAACTCTTCGACTGCACAGTCTTCCAGTTGCCGTTCATCTGGAGAACACTAGAAACCTTCCCCAGGAGGGGATGAATCCCAGTTCGGGGAAGAAAAACACATCGCCCTAAGCAAAACGGTGTTAACATCTCCCGTATATAGGGGGGAGTATAGGGGGGGTTGATTTCATGAACAGTCAACATCACAGGGCTTGAACATGTCCGCCGCCCTGCCGAAACGCCCGTATACTGCCTGGCAGTCAAATAGATGTCAACCCTGATGAGGCCACATTGAAGTGTCGTAGGAGTACGTACCAGGGGCCATCTCAGGGGCCCCACAAACCATCAAGAACCTGGTTTTCCCTAGCAAAAACCATGGTTTCTGTATGTGAAAACCTGTGTTTTTCATGGTTTGCTTCGGGCCCCTGGTAGGAGCACATCACATCTGATGTCGACCTCAACTGCTAGCTATTTCAGGTAGCCCGAGCTCTTGCCCTCTAGCCACCAGTATACCGGTTCTCGCCTTCAAAAACGATTAAAAGCATTTAGTATTACATTTATACCTGGTTTTGTAGTGTCAAATCCTTCGTAAATTAAAGCAACGATATGCAATGATCGTTGTTTAAGACCCTTCCCCAGAATCTGGCCCGTTCTTTCGTGCCTTCGGTCTTCCATTTGCAGGCGTCCGAGCCACCAGTGGTGGCACAGCGAGCATGGTGCGCTCGCGCGCGCATGCGCACGCAGCAATCCAGCCTGGTGTGGGACTGAGATCACCTAGTTTGGAAGCCCCATGGCCGGCAGTCCTTTGGGTCATGAGGCCAGTGAAACGGGACGAGCGGCCCGCTTCTCCGCGCGAAGAAGAGCGCGAAGCTTCGCTTGGTCTGAGACCGTCACTTCTGCGCAGCATCGCGAGCGCGCAGGTGGCGTCCCAAGCAATGTTGTGGTTCATTTGGCCGTGAAAAGCACAGTCTGAGACTGAGGGACCCTCAGTTTCCTTGGACAGTCACCTTTCTCCATCTGTTTCATGTGAAAGATGGGGAAACCAAGCCTCCAAAAAGGTTTTTCAGGTTACAGCATCACACCGAGTGGGTGGGACTAACTTGGGTGATATCCATCATATCCACGTGATCACACTGAACATTCTAAAAGAGGTCGAGTACACTGGTTTGAGGTCACTTGGAAGGTTCTGGTTCTACATAGGACCATAGGCCACAGGACCTCAGAGTCCTCCATCCACATGTTTGGACAATAGGTGCACTCAACTTGAGCACTACCAAACTTGCTTCACAACGTCTACCTTCTTGACCATGTTTTGGCTGTTCACACGTTTTTGCTCCTCTAAAAACAAGCCAACATGTTGCTTCTCTGTTTTTTGTTTTGGTCCATTTCAACTTTTCTCCCGGCTCAAATGAACTTCATGAAAAACTGAAAGACCGCCACAGGCAGTTCCATGACCTTGTGCATGACCACGGCGAATTCCGCGTCGCTGCAGCGGGCCATCCGACCACACCTGAGCTCCGCGTGCTTTCAGTGCTTACTGACTTGGTCATGTCAGCTGTGGGTCATGGCACCATGGTATTCTGCTCATGTTCGGAGGGAAAAACTAACCAGGGTTTTCCTGTTTTGACCCACTGACTTGGTCATGGTTGGTCTACCTGAAACGCCAGGTCAGTAAGGTCTCTCTAAGTGGCAAGGTCTTTCTAGGTTTTGCTAGACTCTTGGAAGGTGTGTAATTTCGTGGCACGTCTCTATTAAGTCCAGGATCTGGAGGCGTTTTGTTTGTTCCTTCACTTCTACGTACTAGGTTCAAAGCTACGAACTGAGACGGTACACCTCACTGCCGAAACTCCCTGAGTCTTCAAGTGGAGGTGCAACATATCACATCGATCAGGACAATATACGTGCAAACATCACAAATCCAGTGTAATGGGATTGATCATCTGTGAAACAATCATCATATATAACATCACTCTCAGCCTTCCCTTCAAATATCTCTGAGCCCTGCCTCCTCCCTTCACCGCGGAAATCTCCGCCACATCCCTCCTCTCCAAGGCACTTGTGGAGCGTTCGCAGGTAGAGCAAGTCCCTCCGTCGCTCCCAGTTGAGGTGCCGACTCTGACGCTCTGCTAAGGTGTCCAGGATGGGCTCGAATCTTCCTGACTGTTTGACCAATTTGGATCCTTTTTTGGAGGACGTGAAATCGTGTTTGGCGCCCATGCTTTTGCCACCTGATTGCTGCTGAAAAGTAGGGAAATGTAGGGAATGAGTCGGAATGACCCCTGAACCCTAATACCCTGCGATTCAACAAACAAAATATTTTTGTAATTGTCTGAATCCCAAAGAACCATAATGGTTGTATAAGGACTTTGGACTTTGGACTACAACACCAGGACAACTGCAGGACAACCTTTCTTTTAATGGTCTTTGAAGGCCAGGGTCTAGATACCTCAGGACCAAGCCACCCATGTTCTTCCCTACGAATTGCACCAGCTCTTTTCGCTATTTTTTGCCGGGTCTCCAATAGACTGTGGTGCCACCGTGTGGGCAGCAAAACACCCAGAACCTCCAAACTACTTGCTTTTCTTTAACATAATAGCGATGGCCTCCAACCTACTACTAGCGATGGCGATGGTCAGCTGAGTGACGCGCATAGCGGTAACGACACGTGCCACAGCGACACGTCTGTCGTTTCCTTTGACTTTCAATTAAAGGGGCCAGGAGATCCACTTGTCCAGTTCAATCCCATACACTCCATGGGACTGGAATAGGACTGCCGCCCCATTGACCCCCTGCCAACACCCCTGGCCGTTTCTCGGCAGTCCGGACTGCCAGTCCCAGACAGGTCGTGTTTGGGAGTGGAATTTCCGTGCAAAGAGGCATAACCATGCTTCGTGGGAATCTGTCCACCAGTCCAGCACCTTCAAACAACATGTCAACCGCCAAGCTGCCGGTGAACAACATGGAATTTTGGACCGTTGTCTGGGCCCAGGGTCCAGGTAGACTCTTGATTAATAACCCCCCCCATATTATGAAGAGGTGTTCCAATTCAAAAGGGGGTTATTAATCAAGAGTCTACATTACCTCCTTTTCGAACCTTCTTGGTGAGTGACTTCCAAAGAATGGTCGGAGATGGTCTTCTTGTTCGTAGCTACTTGCTCCGTTCGTAGCGATGCCAGGAGCCCTGTACTCGGAGCGAACCTTGTTAGCCCGAGCAGAGCGAAGCAACGGGCCCTCCAAAATGCGAGCCCGAGGTGCGCGCCCCGCCCAGGTGCACTGGAGCGTTCACGGAGAGGACCACCCAGCCGTTGTCGTGGCGAGTCAGGGAGCACACCACCAACTGGGAACGTTCAGGGTGAACCAATGGAGCCAACGTTGGTTGTGCGCACCGGCTGCTGTATACTGAGACGGTGACATTCCGCAACCAGGCAACCAAGGTGACAACTGGGCAACCAGGGGATCCACCGCTTCGGAGACCTGGTTGAGTTGGGTGCTGGTTCAGTTGGATGGTCTGGGGTAGGAACCCTGACAGAGCCGATCGCAAAGGCAGTCAATCTTCTCTCTTCCTTGAACACATTCCACGCATCGTGTTTGGGTGTTTAGGTGTTCGTTGGCTTCTCCAAAAGCAGCCCGACATGACGTCCCTTGACCGAAAGAAGTGGGCTTTGCCCTTTTGACGACGTTGTGTGCTCCAAATTCAGGTGAATTCGTTGGCGACCCAAGTTCCGATGGATCTCCCCATCTCATCTACTCTGGACTCTGGACCCGAGACAAAACACCGGTACAAGATCTGTCCCGACAAGTCCAGTCTGACCCAAAGCTGGTCCAAGTGAAACCTCCATGAGTATTATGAGTATAGTGTCTTTCTGTATAGACCATCGTCCAGTATTTCATGAGGTCAGGAACGACTCTGACTCTACAGTAGCCATGAACCTCGGAGCACGTACACTGCCGTTTTCTTGAAGGAGCTTTCACCGTCCGGTCCGTCCGGTCCTAGCGCCGAGGCACGCTCTGGGCTTTCGGTGGTGGCACTTCACCTGCTTCCAATCGGCCGTCGAAAGGGCGAAAGCCAACACTCCACTCTTCGTCCGCAAAGCTCTGAGAGGCGCCAGGATGGCCCTACAGAATGCACCCAACAATGCCACCCAAGGTTAAGGCCATGTTGGCAGGCCCAAACAGCGGGCTGTCATGGGATTGATCTTCCAAAAGTGTTTTCCCCAACGAAGCTGCGTTTGACCAACGAGGCACGGCACGTGAACTCCACCAAACTCCTGTGCTTTTAGATTGGGGGGTCAAATCGAAAGCCACGGGCCGTTCCTGAGGGAATCCGTTCCACCAAGTTTGGAGCATCCGTGGTTCCATCGGTGCCCGACCAGCGAGTTCCGGAAGATTCCAATCTTTTTGGAGGCAGGGTATTGGAGCCAAGAGAGACTTATAGCCCATCCCATACATACCACTATGGGGTTCTATAAGGTCTCTCAACCTCTCTTGGAGACCCAAACCCTACCTCCAATACCGGTCTCCATCCGATGGACGGAGGTTAGGCTATTGGAGACCCGGAGACCCATCGGTCCCATCTCCATCCGATGTTCGACTGGAAGACCGTTCACACGACGGACCGAAACGGACCTCACATGACTCGTCTTACAGAGTGAGCTGAACTGACCAGCTTTTACTGGACCGTCGAGACGGCAGGTCAGACTGGAGCGTCTTGTAGGACAAGGGTGTGAAGCCCACATCGCTACTAGTAACAAGAAGCTACGACCCCGCAGCTTCTTGCTAGTAGTAATGCACTTGTTACTAGTAGCAAGGACTCTACTAGTAACCCAACCCCCAAAAGGAACCAACCGAAGGAACTCCTTCCAGTCGCCCGGAAGGCCCGGGCGACGACCAGTAGTAATGCCAGTAGTACGACCCTCGTAGCGTTCTTGTTACTAGTAGAGATGCCCCCTGTTATAACCACTTCGAGGGCGAGCCGACAGGCCCTACGAGCTTGGCTCATTGGACATGCTTCATAATCTACCTGGACCCGGACCCTCCAGTTCGTATGTTAGAAAATAGGACAAGACCCTGTCACAGGTGCTTGTACCCATTTTCCTAAGGTACTTTGAGACTGGAATACACCTTGTATACTACATGGTATACATCCGTGGCGTGTCAAGGTGGTCATCTGCTGCCAGCACCACTCATTTCGGGACCGAAGAGGTGAACGTATAGGGACATCAACTGCAATCGTGGAACGTAGACTACAAGCTATTCCGCAACTATGTTCGTAGCTTCTTGTTACTTAGTAGTAATGCCAGGAGCTATGTTCGTAGCTTCTTGTTACTAGTTAGTAATGCCCTTGTTACTAGTAGCTGTTTGTTCCGTATATATAGATACACCTGGGAGTCCAGGGTCCTACTTTAGTGTCCTCGACACAAGTAGGGTCCTACTTTTAAGGGTCCATGGACTCTGATGATCCTATGTATAGTCATCTATAGTCCCTATATATGCCTGGACTTGGTTTTGTAGATCATGTTGATTTTCCCAGGTATTGGGTAAATCCCTTGGCATGGTAATGTCTTAACTTATCTTGTTATATTTTGTTCCCGGTTCCGTACAAGCAAATCCAAGCTTGGGCAGTGCATTTGTTCGCCGCAAATAACCAGATTCTTCACTGTTCAAGCAGAGTCTCTCCTACCTGGAGTCTCAAAGTACCTCGGAAAATGGGTACAAGCACCTGTATATAATAATGATTATTCATGTGTTTATATAGGGTCTTGTCCTATTTGCTAAGGTACTTTGTCAGGTCCAGGTAACCTGGATCGTCCAACTATGCAAAATGTCGGCCCAATTTGATGATAAAGGCACACATGTTGCACAGTTGGAAGATCTAGGGAATCTAGGGAACACCGCCGTTGGCCCTTTTGAGACAAACCATGACAATCCCAACACAAATGGCCTCTGATCCCCTTCAAGCCGCGTCTGTCTACAGCACACAACCACTTGTGACTTGTGTCAACCAAACATGACCAACTGAAAACGAGCAAACCCAAATCAACCACCAAGCCATTCTTGCCAGGCATGACAAACATCGAATGAACACAAACGAACGGGTGCATTCCAAGCTACACTTGGTCAGCTCTTGATCGCGGGCAAGGTCTACCAAGGACAACGAACAGCTGGCATAGCTGGAAAGCTCCTATAACAGGCTTTTTCATGCGCGACCCACATGTCAGTCTAGCGTGTGAACGCTAGAAGACAGTCCAGGATCATCTGTGCTGGGTCACCAATGGGCTACCCTACACTAGACAGATTGTGAGACTGAGAAAAAAGAAGGAATGCAAAAACGAACGCTTTGCTCTTAACGGTTTTCATGTTGTCTTCTATTCGGTCTTTGACTCTGTCTCGCTCCCTTGGATGTTGGCCGAGGCCCTTTGACCCTTCGTCTTGTGTCGGACAGGCCATCGATCCACACGCCGGACACGTGGAACAACTGGTTAGCCAAGTGGTGAACTGGTGTGGTTCACTAAGGTTTGTTGAGCTGGGATGCTCAAACTAAAGGTTTGGCCAAGAGTGACTGAAATCCCAAGATGAAAGTCAGATCGAAGAGCGGGCTGGAGATGTACTATACCCACAACTCTCCATGTTCCACACCCAGATGCTCCATGTATGCCATATATATGCTGATCAGTTTTGGGGTGTCAATGTAAGCATATATTCCATATATGGAGTGTATGTGACATATACCCTTCCCAAACATATCCATCCGCTGGGCTAGTCAGCTATCCCATACACTCCATGCAACTGCCATAGGACTGCCGCCCCATTGACCCCCCACCTGCCCTTTTCTCGGCCTATCTAATGCAGTCCCGTGGAGCGCGTTCTACTGTAGTCGTTACCAACAGACTCACCGACGCACCGTCCCGGCTCCTCGCCCTCATCTGCTGAGACCACGAAGTACATGTCTGTGACCTGCAGGGACCGGCCTTTTTTTCACACCGGACTCGGACCTCGGACCAGGTATGCTCCCCGCAAAAAGCATCAAGTATACCGAAGAGTACTCCTAAAGGAGTGCCATGGAGTTGGATGGTGTAACAAATATATCACACTAATTCAAACAAGATATATCAAGATGACTATCAACATATTACTACCTGGACCATCCTGGAGACCGTGCCCTGTCTGGAAGCCGGTAGTGTGGGGTAGTCCAGCCAGGACACCCCGATGGTCGGATGGTCCTGGTATACCATCTTCCGCTAAAAACCAGGACCTTCAAAGAGGTCCAAAACCTCCCGGGGCGAGACAGGTCCTGGAATAGTGTGTTTTCTTGCAGGCATCGGCCCTGTCTCGCCCCTCCCAGTTCAGCACTCAGACCGCCCGTGCTGAACGGACGGTCCACTGGCTCGGGTGACGAACGGTGACGAAGCGGAGAACACACGAACTGGACTGCAGTTTGGCTTTCTTAAGGCACCGAGACTCAAAGAAGTGTCTCTCCTGTTCGACTGAATAGATTCACCTTAAGGTTGAAACGACCAAAACCAGGAGAAGTCACATGTTTATGACATGTTCAGACATGTTCCATTCGCTGTTCCATGTACGGATCCCTTTTCCATGATCCCTTTCCTCCATGTTTCCTACGGACCACGTCACACCGATCGCAACACCTCGCCACCACCCGGCACCGACAACGGCCAGGACGACCGCCCTTTCCGCGCCTCGCGCGGAAGGGCAGAGAGGTCGATCCGCATGGGACAATGGTTCTCAGTGGGTGCTCCTGGATCCTTAGACGAGACTCCTTCCTTGCGTTCGATCTCGAATGTGTGCGCATGGCGGGCACTCTCGACTGGAACGCACGCACGACGTACAGGGTGTGCCAACGCGCATGGCGGTTTGGGCACGGTTTGGGCATCGAAGTGGAAGTCCTGACCCATTGGAAGACGCTCTTCCTGTACCAAGAGGGGTTGTCCACTTCCATGATTGTGAAGGGGAGGATGTATTTTCATTTCCTCAATCCTCAAAATGTAAGTGTTGACTCTCTGAAATGGCAATCAACATGGCCCTGATCAAGCAACCAATGGCACTTTTGCTCTGCCTCACTTGCGCATGTCCTCCCTCTCAAGCATCGTCCAGGTTCTGAATTCCCAGTCAGCTTGTGCACTGCCCTTCTGCCCTTCCCACCACCGGGCTTGCACAAACAAGTTGTGCACCTTTCTTTGCATCCAATATGCAGCTTGACATGAGGGTCCAGTTTTCTCCCTGTCTGACATCTGACCTGACTTCGCCATTTCCCATGGAAAATACGGTTGAAGAACCAAACTTGCTGCCTGGCTTTGAGTGGGGAAACCAATCTTGATCCATCTGAATTCACAGGTTTGCAGCTTATCCACTCTTTCTGGGTCGGCGACTGAGAAAAAGTCAAGGCACCAATGCTCTGGCCACGGACTTGGCCATCTCTTGATGGTAGTAGTCGTCCTGCGAATGAATCATTGCCAGCAACACTCTCTGTTGGGGAGAACGATGTGTCTTCAAGGTCAGTGTTTGCCGTGTGTCAGCAGTGTGCCACTTTTGAATCTGTCTTCCAGAATGGAGTCGGATGACCTTGAAGGTTTGAACATGTTTGAACCACAAAGCGCACTTTCTCTGCGACTCTTGTCTCTTAACCCGTACCAAATCTGGACCTCAGGAAGGCAAGTATGGCTGTTTGAGTCTCTGTCTGTCTTCACTGGAGGACCTGAAGGAACTTGGATTTGCTCTCCAGGAACAGGGAAACGCTACGTACAAAAGATTCCCAGAAGGGGAATCACCCTATCGCAAATGCTCCATGTATGCCATATATGCCGATCAGTTGGGGTGGTTTGGGGGGTCAATGTAAGCATATATGGAGTGTATGGGACATATACCCTTCCCAAACATTCCCAAACATATCCATCCGCTGGCTTAGTCAGCTATCCCATACACTCCATGGGACTGCCATAGGACTGCCGCCCCATTGACCCCCCACACCACCTCTGGCCTATTGATTTATAGGAAAATAGACATCACCCGATCCGCAAAAACAAGAGAACGTTCCTTTCACAAGTCGCTCCGTTTTTCGTCGTCGTCAACCCCCCAACACACCGAACCTTCATCCAAGATATCGCTGTGTCGTGGATTCTGGAGATGCGTGAACATCAAGTCCAAAAATATTGAGCACCCCCCCTATGTCTTAAAATGCATTGAAAGTCACCAGTCACCTCAATTCGGTGGTCTTTTTGTGCATTCCATCTGCATTCCATGTGTTGTATGTTCGTTATTCATCATGATTTATCATTGATTCCATGGGTTTTTTCTGATGTTCCTCATCTTTTGGTCGACTTCAGCATCGTCTCCATCGCCCTCCACGGCGCCCTCCACCCTGAGCTCGCCCGCCGAGCCGAGGCCGCTCGCGCTCGCGCTCGGACGCGGCCCGCTCGGTGTCCTTGCTCTGGGTCGCCGAGGTCGCTCCCTGCGGACGGTCGCCAGGTCCCATGGAACGGATCCGTGGACGGTGGCCACCCATATCCCATCCACGACCCGTCTGGGACTGCCATGACGGACTGCCGAGAAACGGCCGACAGGGGGGTGGTGGTTTTGGTGGGGTCTGTCTGGGGCGGCAGTCCTATTCCAGTCCCATGGAGGATCATGGAGTGTATATGGGCAATGACATATGCCAGAGGCGACCTGGACATGGGACTGCCATAGATACGCCGATCAGTTCGGGTGACCTGGGGGTCGATGGGGTGGCAGTCCGACATGGACCTATGGGTAGTGTTATGGCATGGGGCGGCAGTCCTATGGCAGTCTCATGGAGTGTCTGGGATACGTACGTAATTACCCTACCTGAATTCGGAGTTGGAACCAAACACCGTTGACCCGACCAAAAGCGGCATGGAGCTTGGATGAGCTTGGCCCTTTTCTGTTCAGATGATTCTCGGGAGAAGCCTCCTCTTCTTTCGAACACAAAATCTGCGTGCCTGAGTCCCCCAACCTTGCTAACTTCAACAGGAGAAGTTGATCAAGATGGACCAGCGGCTGTCTCTTCTCTATAGACACAAGATCGGGTCCCAGACTTCCGAGCTAGGAACCTTCGGTCGACTGGCCCGGGTTGGTCGACGCCCCAGGCAGTTGCGGCGCATGTGCAGTTGCGGTCGCCCAGGCAGCCTTGTTGATAAGCGAGCTGAAGGTGCAAGCGTAGATCAGGTGTTCCTCGGCGAAGATCACACAGAGGCAGTCCATGTCTCCGGTCCTTGGTGAGTCGCCCAACCGCGAGGCGAACGACCGGTGGACCTGTGAGAGAAGTGAGTTGTGGAGTGTAGAAGAAGCGCTGCGCAGAGTGACGCATCCAAGACATCTAAGGCTTTTGAGGGGCCCCACACCCTTGTTCTAGGGAATTCGACCCCCTTCTAAGGAGGGTGCCTTCGGATCCTTAGGGTAACACATATCATGGACACATTTGGTGCAAAATTGCAGTGGCATGGCCCCATAGCTCCCAGACTTTTTACACGTCTTTTCCCCTAATTACCCAGACGCTCCGTGAAAACAGCCCTTTCCCGGTCCCTGAAAACGGGATTGGGTTCGACCCCAGACCGGCCCAGGGTCGCGTCTGGGGACATATTCCCTTACAAACACCAAGAGATCTGCTCCGACGAGGTTGTCTCGGGTGGTTTCTTTGCATCAAATGCTTTGGGTCGACCTATCTCCCAGACACCCAAGGGCCCAGTGGAAGATGCTTACCCAAAGGCTCAGAAAGGACCCTCATAGCTAGTGTTGGACCCTCACAACTAGGGTTTGGGACCTCAAACATGTAGCAGTTGGTTCGGGTCCATGAGCCTCTGGGCAAATGCATCAATTGTTGACCGACTGTGACAGGTTTACAGGTTTACAAACCCCGTCACTACGTAGTGGTCTTGAGTCTACAGACGTGGCTGACCGTGTCCTCCAAGGGACGTGGGCCGCTTCGCAGTCCAATTCCTGAGCCAAAGGGCCGCGCGGCAATTGACCGAAGGAGTTGGATCATCATCATCAGGAGCTTGAACATCATCGGATAAAACCGATGAAAAAAAACGTAGTGTGCAAACCGTGGAAGGCATGACACCAGCAAGGGACGGACTTGTTGGTCTTTTCACGTTTTCTGTTTCCTCCCTGTGAGTTCAGTCGTGGAAGGAGCCGGGCATAGTGGTGGACTATATGACTGCCAGGTGGGGTAGTTCATGAGTCATTCTTGGAAGTTCTGGGATGCTGTTGCCACAGCATGAAGAGAAGCAACAGGATGTTGGATGGTTCTTGAAGAGCCACAGGAGGCGATTTCAGTTTTAATCCTGCTAGACTTGTGCCACTTGAAGCCAAGGTCGAGGAGGGCTATGATTTTCCACCGACCCGCCAGGTTTCGCACCCTTTCAGATGCTCGGGTTGCATGGTCATGGTCGGATCATGGATGAAGCTTGTCAAATGCACCGAACGGGGATGCGCATGCCATCCAGCTATGGCACTGCAGAAACGTGTGAACCGTGGGGTCCAAGCACCATCCCGTTGAGAGTTCGGATTGCCATCTGACCTCGAAGTCCTAACTGAGGGTTTAGGGTTTAGGATGGTTTAGGGATAGGTTTTAGGGTTTATGTAAAGGCCCCGTATTTTCTGAAGTGGCCGAGGCTGTCGCGAAGATCCAGGCTGTTGGGCTTCGCATGTGGAAGTGTGGACGTGTCCCAAGTCTGCCTTTCAGTGATGCTTGGAGAACCAACTGCTACATGTTGCGCACCAAGCTCCAAAAGCCCGAGCGAACTGAGGGTCCCCCATTGGCCGAAGCTGGAGGTGATGACTTGCAGACTTGTGGTCCAAACGCGCTCCCACACTACGGCATCCCTCCATCCCCACACAGATACGGCGTAGACGGCATGTGTGTGGTTCAACTGCGACCCCCTTCAGCTTCGACCCAAGAAGGTCTCAGGAGTACCTCACCCATACACGACTAATGGGACTGGAATTTGTGCCGATATACATTGACCCCCCAAAAGCACCACCACCCCATACACCGTTTTGAAGGCAGTCCTATTCCAGTCCCAGACAGGTCGCGTCTGGGTCATCTTGGACCGTTGGTCTGACCCATGGTGCACCGCGACGTGCACGTGACGGGCGGGCGACGTGACTGGCAGCGGCAAAGCACGACGTCGCTGGTCACCAACGTCATAAGACATTGGACTGTGGGTCCAACTCCAACTGATGTAGACTCTTGATCTATATTTCACTTTCCCTTTGAAGAAGATGTTCAATTCATGTCTGGTGTATGGTCCTAGTCTACATTACTCTGTCAATGAGCTTTTCAGCACCAACAGGTCGGACCTGGATGGCCGTCCGAGTCGCACGGCGATGGTGGATGCCACCGCGGAAAACCACCACAGACAGGCGTGTGTATGATTGTTGTTTTTTGGGTTTGGCCCCTGGAAGTCAAAGACTATTTTAAAAAAATGGTCTTTAGGGGACCTGAAAGGGAACTTCCTTTACTTCAGCCGGTCAAAATATAGTCTTTGGACTTCTAGGGTAACGGGTCACAAAAAGGCGTTATGACTTTCAACCGGTAATAAATAGAACTTCGTCCTTGTTCGAACAAAACAAAACAAAACACACATAAGGTCATTAAGAAGAAAAGGGTCTAAAGACCACCCCCCCGTCCAACAAGATACCCTCGTGTCACCCCCCAAAACCGCCCCCATCCCTGCAAAAAACACGAAAAGGACAAACACCAGGAGTCACATGGAGTTGGGTGGCTTCTTTGAGTCTCACCCAGGGCTCCTGGAGGTAGATGTGAACCCCGACATCCTCGGGTCGAACGGCACCCCGGTGCGAACGTGAGGAACGATCGGTTCCTCCAAGGGACACAGAGACCTCCAAGTCCGCGAGCTTTCGCGAGGCGGCGGGACAGGTGACCTGCACCTTGGTGTCGATGCCACGCATGATCGCCATGGTGTCCTTGGTGTGAAGCCGCGTGAAGCCGCGTTCTGCGACCGCGAGAGTGAGGTGGTTTCCGCGTGGAGTGAGGTTTGGGCGAAGTGGCTTGGTGGTGGTAGGTGTGATGCTGTGCCGCTGTTTTTTGTGTCGGGGCAGAGCTTTTTGGAAGGGTTGAGAAAGAGTAGGATGTGTCCTATACCCTAAAGTATATTGAGCGAAATCATTCTTTGCATGTGGGAATTGATTCAAGGTGATTTATAAGGGGCTTTCAAAATAATATTCGTCGTAGGGACCCTAGGGACCTTCTGAGACATGCGGTTGACTTTGTACCACCATCATCATTGACGGGTTGGTGGGTTGGTGGTTTCAACCAATATATTGGTGGGATTGATCATGAAATATCACACATCATCTGACTGGTGCTTAGTAGGGAATAAGGGAATGAGCCCCCAATAGAGATTCTATTGGATCCATTCCCTCATTCCCTGCTAAGCACCAGTCAGTCATTGCCAGCACATGACTCATAACTCTCCGAGTTATGGAGGCCTTCAATGCACACGGTAGGTCGGAGGTCGGAGGTGGGTGACCTGGCAGGTGAGACGGGGTGACCTGCATTCGTCGAAACGTGCAAAGAGAAGAATCGTCCTGGTTCCCCACCCAAGGAGCATTTCGGGTTGGGGACCTCCTCTGGTCGCTCCGAACAGTAGCTCCTGTGTGCATAGATACCCCCGTGGCTCCCCCCTTTGGTAGCTCGCGAAAGCTCCATGTCGCGCCACCTAGCGAAGCAGTGACCTTAAAGCAAGGAATTCACGCGTTTCTTGAAACGCTCCACCGGGCAAAGCTCCAAATTACCTTTAACCCGTGGAGCACTGGAAGACCACACAAGGGCCGTGTAGAGTCTTATTTTTTTACTTTCAAGTGCTTTGCTTTTCCCAACAGGGAACCAATATTGTATAGGACGCTATGTTGGAAGATATGTAAAACAATTAATCAATTGGAATATGTGATCTATGACCAATTGGAAAGCCGAGATCATGAGATCTCGAGATCTGACCCCCTCAGTTTCCCTGGAAAACGAAGATGATTGATATATTTAATCATGTTCCACCTGTCGATTTTTAGTAGCGAAAACAAATCCTCGAAGCTGGCGCTCATGGCTATGTCCACGGATCCTGGGTATGAGAAAATGATCTGAAAAGCCTTGTGATTGATTTCCACTCGACCAGTCTGGTGTGTCCTCACCGTTGGTGACTCCCCCTGTTGCATCCCTGTCCTGCGCACGTTGCATGCTAGAGAATGACCTGTGACTCTGTCAGTCAAACGACTGGGCATTCCCAGCCGACGAAAACATGCCAAGCTTCCGCAATCTTCATGCTGGTTTCGGGCACTGCGAGCACATCGACGATTTCTCGGCCCTTGCCCGCTTTCATGACATCGATACTGAAGTCCAAGTCCAAATATTCCTCAAAAGAGCTCGGTCCAGCCGCAACATGGCCGAGAAAATAACAGTTCACCCCATTGATGAAGTAGCGGTTTCTATTTGGCTGAAAGCAACAGTGAGTCGGGCATCATCATCCAAATCATCCAGGCAAACGTTGATACATTGATATGCTTGAACAAAAACCCTAGCCGTCAAAGACCAGGAAAGGTGGTGTTTTAGAATGTTTTAGATGTTCAAGTCTAAAAGCCGGTTTTAGAACAATCCAAAAGGTCCTGCAGGTCCGTATGCCAGCGGTCACAAAGGGGTGCCGAACTTGGAGGTTAGGGGTGCCCATTCTCCACTCACTGGATGGGACTAAACACCACCCCTTTGTGAGTGGATCGTTCCGGCGTTGTTCCCGATGACGCCGTCAATGATACGGAACTTCCCGTCAGGTCACTTCTCTGAACCAATCCACCAAGCGCCCACCGCAGGAAGTCCGCCGCTGGAAACCGATGGAAACGTCAGACGTGTGGCACATAAAGGGTGGGAATGGCACGAGGTGGTGTCTGGAGCCCAAGCTATGACAAACTCATACCTTGGGTGAATCCCAAACACCCAGGGCCCAGCGGATGATGATGGTTAAGTGGCAGGCCTTAGTTCAAAAAATAGTGTCTGACTGGCTGTTACAGGTCTGCTGGGAAAGACCCAACTCATACCTCCAAAAACAATACAGGGGACCTTACAATCCCATGGTACTGTGAAGAATGGAGCCTTGCCCTAACAGGAATTTGGACCTATATATATTGACCCTTAAATACATCTGAACAACCCCCCCCCGATGTAGCTCGCTTTTGCCATGTGCCATGATTTGTTGGGGCCTGGACGATGTTCCGTTTGGATTCACCAGAGGATCTCTTTCCCCCCAATGAGGTGCCGAACGGGAGGACCCTGGACGTGAATCCAACCATGGTCCTCCAAGTGGAGGAAAACATGTTTTACTCTACCAGCACCCTCCAACAGGTCACCACCTGCGACCTTTAAGTCTCCAAAGGCCACCAGAGGAGACCTGTTGGAAGGTGCTGGTAGTTTTCACGTTCATTCCTTGCACGTTTGATGTGTTTTTGGTGGTGTAGGTCTGAAACACATGCTGATGACGCTGAGAAAAAGCACATTGACATTCATGTCGGGGGACGAACACACACAGGGAAAGTAACATCAGCCGATCTGCAACGCCAATTTTCCGGAGGTTTTACTACCATGACTTTACTGTATCCAAGAAACATATACTTTTGTTTGAGGATATTTGGGTGTCAAGCACCCGCTAGATTTCAGGATGGCATTTCAAAACACAACTGTGGGATAATCATCCCCTCCCACTACTGGACGCAAGCCTAAAGGCTCGTCAAGGCAAGAGTCTGAGTGGTCTTGGACCGATGCTACCTTGGCTTTTGGAACAACAGAAGCGACGCATCGGTGATGCCAAACTTGTTGAAAGAGTGGCAGGAGGCACTGGTGATGCAACAGAGAGGACAGAACTGCCACAATCCTATGACCTATGATCTACAATTCTTCAGGCATATCAACCACACCTGAGTCATATCTTCACATCATCCAGGAAATGTAGAGAGTTTTATGCAATTTTCTTTGAGGCATTCACATCCTGTCAGGTATGTCACACGTCAACACAATAAGGCCTGTCACGAGCAGGACGGGAGGCAATTCCCAACTTCTCTTCCCCCACCAAAAAATGGACATGTGGGTGAGTGACCCTCTCGATTGAGCAACCCTCAATCCCACCAACAACACAATACATGCGTCCGCACAGGCTTGTGCAAGGGTCCTGTGCAGGAACCAGAACAAAAAAGACTAATCCCAAAGGGGGATTCACCCACGGGGCAAAACATATTGATCACCCCAAGCCAAATTGAGATTAATACCCCTTCCCTTCATATCAAAATATATCAAAATGGGGGAGGACCACATAAGAGAACCACCCGGTGGGTCATGGTCTGCTTAGGTATGCTTTTTGCCACTTGACTCTCTTTGGAGCAACAATCACTGGCAACCAAATCTTCAAAACTCTGAACAAATACCGCTCCTTACTACTCAACACCCTATCGAAATCTGCTGCTAGACTCAAACAATGGGGACTTCATCATGCTGTGAAACCACCAAATCAGCCCACAATCACCTTCAGGCTTGCCCTTCAAGAAAACATCACACATCTTTGACCTGCCCCGCTCTTTCCACAAATCCACGACACCTCCACGTCATCCAAGATCTTCTTCACCACGCTTTCTAAGTGTTTCTTCATCCACTTGGCTTCCTTCTTGTCCGCCACCAGCGTGGCCACAGAACCCTGGTCGCCCTTCCCCAAGGCCACCACTCGAAGCCTGGCATAACTTGCAGCCCGTGGCAGCCAAGGACTCGGGAGAAACTACCAAAACTGGAAGAAAGGCCAGGCCCCAAACAGTTTGGGGCTTGGCCTTCTCCCAGTTTTGGCGGTTTCTGCCGGACTCCCAAACACCAAGCAGAACCTGTGGGACTGGAATTGATGCCTACGACCACGATCACCCCCCCTACATACCCGCCTGGCCCGAGTGTCAGTTGTGGCAGTCCCATCGAGTGTCAAGATCCATCAGTGTCAGGTTGTCCATGGGTAACCCCGCAAGGAAGGTGCCCATGCCATCCACTTCCATGTAAGTTCGTCTTCGCTGGTGTCCCTGAAAAGATCTCCGTAAGATAGAAGAGGATAAACTTGTGTTACACGGTGGTTATATGATGTTATAATATAAATAGTAACTGCTCTGGCTCTCAATCACATGTCTTTTATGGCTCTAAATCACATCTATTTTATGTACCGCTTTATGATCTTTAGTAGGAATTATTTGGAGGTGCTCCTCAATCTAAAGTCCAATTTCAAAAGGTTTATAGATTGATTATAGATTGAACAATCAATTAACATCCTTGATTGATTTAAGATAATCTGCAGACTGCAGCCGGCGGACCTGAGTGGCTGATTGATTCAGCCAATGCAATCACATGGCTGTGGGTCCAGGACCCCCTGAGCCCCTGGGCCCGACCCACCAAAAATAAACAGAGTCCTTTGAAGGGAGGTCAACCGAACCCCATGGTTTGAATGGTGAGGTTTTGACCGACACATGGGCCATGAGCACCTCCGGTTACTCTCCAACCAGTTCACAGGAGCGCCAGGTCACCATCTGCAACGTATTTTCAGTCATCCAAAAGCCATTTCGGAGACCCAACCATCACAAATCTCTCAAGTTCAGCATCACCATTATTTTTGGGTGATGATACCTTAATTGACCCTGTTTTTTAAGTATGCAAAAGTGCCACCCCACCTGCCACTCTTGCCCTTGATACGCTCTTCCACTTCGTCTCCTCGGTCCCCGTGTGACCATCCAACCGTGTGGAGGGGTCCCCTGGATGGAGGATGTGAGTCGATGGAGTCGACATCGTGATATCGCTCGAGATGTCTCGATGACGTTCTTCCTTGCGGTTCTGAACGTTTCAGCTTGTTTGATCTGGCCCTATGGATCAAACACTTGAACGTTTGGTTCGGTTCACCTTGTTTGGTTCGGTTCACCTTGCTTGAACCGTTCCAGGCCCTATGGATCCACTCCCACCGAACAGGGTCGGTACGGTGAGCAGGGAGACTATTGATGTAGGCGATCTTGGAGGGTCCTGGCGCCTAGCTTCTGAGGTACGGTGGCAGTGGATCCTTAGGGTGGATTGATCGACCGGATGACTGGATTCTTCTTCTCTTCAGTGTAGCCACATCGATCCTGAAGAACACGAGAACAGGGAATGGACAATGTTGAGCCTTGTCGTATCTTGTGACCCCAACGGTAACTGGGTGGACGTTTCGACTGGTTTGAAAAATCTTTTTTGTCATGCAGGGATGGTGGTGTTTGCAAAGCCTTGTGTTGATAGAATAACAAACTCTGCAAAAATGCATAGGTTTCTTTCAAATTTCATTCAAATTCATTCAAATTTGGCTCAAATTTGCAAGACCAAAATTTGAACTAAATTTGAATGAATTTGAATGAAATTTGAAAGAACCATGTGTAAGGGTAACCAATTCAGGGACATTAAGCAGCCAGGTCATGACAATTGACGTTGCCAAAACGTTTGGCTGTCATTTAATTCATCAAAGCATGTGATTAATGTTCATGTGGCAATTGTCATCCGGCAGAAGTGGAAGGGCCTTGCCACCGGAAAACATCAAATGATTGACAATCACCGTTTGTTTCAACGTGGGTTTGTTTCAGCCTTTTTTCTCCTGTCAAGCTGTCATATGTCTCCTGTCCCCATCCGGCGCTGAACAACCACTCTGTTCAAGGTTGTTCAGCGCCGGGCTCAAAGTCTGGCGACCCCATTCTACGCGGTGCCAGCCACAATTTGCCAAGTTCAGGCCAGACTGGGACTGGTGTTTGTAGCACTTTAATCAACAAAACTGCAAAAATGCATGGTTTTCTTTCAAATTTCATTCAAATTCATTCAAATTTAGTTCAAATTTGCAAGACTAAAATTTGAACTAAATTTGAATGAATTTGAATGAAATTTGAAAGAAACATGTGTAAGGGTCACAAATTCAACAGCCCACCATGCTGGTCTGAGTTCGCAAGCGACTACCTATCTGATGCGGCTGCGCTGCAGTGGATCTGAATTGCCACTGTGATTTGTCAAATGTCAAACTGTGACACAAATTCAAATGAAGCTGCCTGATTCACCTGGTCTATACGAACAATTATGTTCAAAGAGTGTCACGTGTCACGTGGCAACCAGCTTTGTCATACGCAGCATTCACTTGCAGGTCAGCCTGGCGCGCAGTTCAAAGGCTCAGCGTCTCTTTGTGAGACCGTATTTCCGTGAACGCAAAAAGAAAAATGCTGAATATCCAAACACAGTAAAGCACGACAACACGTGGAAGTTGCCTCACTCAGACGTCCTACAAAGCTTGGCAGCGGCACTATCCTGTCAGGGCCATGCGTGCAGGATGTCGTCATGAATTGAATCAAGCAGCGCATCCAGATTCCAAGAGTCATGTGTCTGAACACTTTATCACTGTTAATAACTGCCACCTTGGCTCAATCAAGGCAAATTAAGGATTAGCACCAGTGACTGGAATTCGAAGAGCAACCTGTTTGTGAAATGCATCATCTCAAGTGTCAATTATGAAACGCGATGAGTGTAATCCAACTCATTCGATATGTTCATAACGCTGCCTCTGACCAGCTGTGTCATCTGAATCCTGCAAACCATCAGAGATCTCAAAGATGCACTGGTTTGTGACAAAACCCAATCGTCAAGTTAAAGCGACTTCGCATTCTCACACTTACATGACTCACATCTGAATCTGAAACTCCAGCTGTAACTTTCACTCAGGGAGATGGCCAGCGATATTAGCTGTAGCTGCCTAGGCGTCAATCAACAAAAACCTACATCGCAGCATCATTCAAAATCAGGCGACATGTGGTGGCAGACTCAGGAGCCATCACTCGCCAAACGGTCACAGATCACAAGTCACTGGAGCATCAAACCCAGCTCTCTGTGCTGTTCAAACGCCGTTCGATTGCTCAACGTGCCAGCCGCCAGTTCCTCCTTGATGGTCTTCAGGCGCTTGCAAATGTTATCTGTCCGCTCAATGTCTTCGTTGATCCTGCGCGTGATTTGCATCAAATGTTTGATTTGGATCAGATTGTTCTTGAACATGAACTTGGTTTGACAGCGAAAATCAATCTAGAATATCAAATGAATATAAAATCGACTATTTTAAGCAAGGCGATCAACTACCCGAATCAAAAGAAGCCACAGCAGTCCGTCTGTCCTGTCAATGACAGCTGATGCATCACTCTTTCTCTTCTTCTCGTGGAAGAATGCCATCTTGCAATTGTCACGGCTGTGAGGTGATGCTTTGGTGCTCAAGTCAACAAATGACACGGACCATTGCAAGCTGCCAGCTGCTTCGCGCAAGGCGTCCTCTGGCGCGTACCACACATCCATCATCCCTGGCATGGGTCTGATGAACTTGGACGCTGTGGCTGCGTTCACTGACACGGTGACCATGCGGTTGCTGTCATATGACATGCATGCCATGAGGATCACAGCTTCCTTCTTCTTCTCGAACATTGGGACTGCTTCATCAGGCCAATTGCCACCGCGTCGGCCAGCATGCCTCTTAGCTTCAATCAATCATTAAAACGCGCCAGCTACAATTAAAACAACAATGACAAACACAAAAATCACTGTTAAAGCAGAAATCAAGATTCCTCTTGAGCAGTGCCCACATGTCACGATGGTTGGCTGCTTCCATCCAGGCCCAGCACTCTGGCAACATCATGTCACACGTCTTTTTGTCAAGCGGCACGTAGAACGTCCACTGTGGCGCTGGTGGACTCGTCCCACATGCGTGGATCCATGGCCGCTCCTCCAACTGCCACATGGCAGGTGTCATTTGACAAAATGGCTCCTTCATCATCTTGAAAAAGTCCATGTAACACGTGAAGGACTCTTCCTGGTCACGTACCAGCGTTCCCTTCTTCAACCACTCGCGGAACGTGTCATCTGGCAACGTGACATCGCACAGCCAAAAGCCACCTGTCAAAAGGTCAGTCTTCCGCAAACACTTGGCCTTGTGCTTCGTGGCAGATGACAAGCTGACCTTCAAGGCATTGGCGTCCTCACGCACTTTCCACAGGGCAGCTGTCAAAGGTGACTTGTGGAGCCGCAACTTTAATGTCAACGGCCACGTGTCACTATCCTCAAATGACACATGACACATGTCAAAGGCATCAAATGACACTACTGATAAGTCACTGTCACCGAGACACCTCAAAGAACCAGGCCTCAAATTAAGTCCAATGCCAAATCAACATCAAGTTTCTGTCAAATGATCACTGCCAGATGGTGTTGCCAACCACGCATCCCACTGATCCTTCGACAGCACGGCGATGCCCACCGGAATCTGAGCAGCACGATTATCGTTCACCAGGGCCATTTGTGCGATGCAACAGGTGTCTGGCGAAGTGTCGTGAGTCAAGAGTCAAGTGACTTGATCCAAAGCGGTTGATGGCGGAAGAACATTGTTTCAAGAAACCAATCAAATCACATTCAACGCTGAAAACTGAATGTTTGGCAAACGTAATCAATCGTGATGTAGCTGCTCACTGAACCATGTTTGGAACCACCAGTTTCAGTCCTGCAAACGTTTTGATCGAACTCGAGGTTGGTCATCAACTGCAAGGCCTCTTGCAGGACGACGCCCGACATCACTGAGCTAAACATCGAACACATCAATAAAGAACAACGGCTAGATTCAAGTGGAACGTGTCACTTTTTCAACGGATGGTTGTGTTTCAATCAGCACGCAGCTCTTATTTCCAACATTTTTTCAACTAACTTTGCTGCTCAGGCACGCAGCTGTTCACCCACCCCTATTGAAGTTTACTGCTTGGAGTCCGCGTTTGGCGGTCAACCGGAGTTGTCGCAGCATCTTGGATACATCAGAAAGATGATTTAAATTGATAACCCCACGCGGCAAGTTGTCGCGCGACATGTTGTCACGTGACACCACCTTCCACTTGCTCCCTGGAAGGCTTACCAGTGCATCAATAAACCGCTGCATCGATGAATGTTTCACATTGAACGTGTCACTATAGAGAATGGATGCCACTGTACACTTAAGCGCCGCTTTATGCACAATCATGCACCCTGTCAAACGTTGAGAGTCTCCAGCGGCAGCCTCCCACTGGTCACGTGACACCGTTGACAACCCCAAGGCAATAGTCCCGAGCAGGATCTTCAGGTTCATGTGGCGCCTGCGCACAGCCATCAAAATCAGTGGTGTTGTTGACACTGATGAGGTATTAAAAACAACTAATTTAACATTTAAAGGTGGCCAAGCATTAACTGCTATCAACAACATGCTTGAGGCCCAGGCATCTGGTCAGTGTAGCTGATGTCGCTCTGGTGGTCAACAATCACAGGGTTTGATACTTTGAGCGCATCGACGATGGTCTGTGCATTCCAATTCTGAGGCCGCAATAATTTGCAGCGGTTGAAAGGCGAAGCTGACAAGGTACATAAGTCAATTGCCACCAGCCTTTGTGGCAATGAGGCGCTGTCACTGTCGCGTGATGGTGCTTCAAAGATCTGTCCCTTCCGCAGTGGACCTCAACAACTAATTAAATGAAGCACAGCAAAGCCGTGAGAGTTGATGACAGTTGACTAAGCTCTACCTTTTCCGGTACCAATCCCAAACATCAATGATCAAACACGATAACGTCACTTATCGTTCTCCCACCACGAACACCCTGCCTGCTGGGTAGAGACACTTCCCACTTCCTCCTGGCCGGTTTTCCAGGTGTTTCTTCTTTATGTCTGCAGACGCCTGCTTGAAGTGCTGATGCGCTTCGTTGAACAACCTGTGGTTCTCAATTCTCCGACCCTTCTTCACTGACCATGTATCTCGTGGCACTCCCAGCAACTGGCGGTCGACAGAATCACCCGCCACCAGTGCATCACGTCCTCTTTTCTGGCCACTTATGGCACATGCCTCGGAGCCAACATGGTGTCCACGTTTTGTACCTTTGTCAAATCGGGTCTTGTAGACATGGAAGCGCCGGCCGTACAGCTCAACCCACATCTGGCACATGTCACGCAAGGCATCTGTTGGAATGAGCTGTGGCTTGGGCTCACTCATCGGCATGCAAATGTGACGCGACAATTGCAATGTTGGCGTCTCTGAAACTCGCCTGTCACACAAGTCACTCTCCTTTTGCGGGCCATCAAGCATGATCTCCAAACAGCGCTCCAAGTCAGCGCAATCAGTCTGAGCAGCACCGCACTTGATGCGTGTCAAATGTGCAAGCTGTCCCAAGTCACGCTCCAACTGGCAGCTGCCAACATCCAGTGACAAATAAAGCGAAACCAACCGATGCAACCGCGGCCAACTGAAGCTGAACACAGTTTTCCAATAAGGTCTCCAATCCGTAATTGTGTCATTGCCAAAGCTGCGGGCATGTCTCTCGCGCAACATTGTCCTGAGCGAACTCACTGCCATATATGACATGTTACATAAAAGACATTAAGGATACATACCGCAAGGCCAATGAACTGTAACTTTAAAAACTTTCAAATAGTTGTAACAAAGATTGAGGTGAGTCCACCCAATTTTGCATCGCTGCGCCACAACTGGTCAAAGTGATTAATTGTGATTCAGGCCATAATAGTCCACGTCACTTTAAATTAAAGAAAGTCCAAAGGGCACTGCATCAAGGTACTCTTGAACCGCCGCTTGCAGCTCGTTGGACTCAAAGCCGAGCAATCCAAACAAAGTTCGCACACTCTTGCGCCAACTCTGCTTCGCAGCTTCTGAATCTAGCAGCATCCACCGCTTCACATTGAAAATGACAAGTTGCATTCCTTAACAACTACAAAGCGGAGACTCAACATGCTACAGAAGACAACCCTGAAGATCCTGTAAGCTTTAGAAAGTGGCTGGTAGCTGAGTTTTGTGGCTTCTGAACATGTTGGAAGTTAGGTTTGAGAAACAAGGGTTCTTGCCTAGCAGATCAAAAACCTAGCTTCTTTGAAGGTTCTTGATGCTCTAGCAGCTTTGAAAACTAGCTTCCAGCTTTTTGCATGCAAAAAAGCAAGAAGCACTGCTTTGAAGGTCAAAGAAGCACTTCTCAGAAGCACTTCTTGGATTCCAAGAAGCTCTTCTTGGATATACTGTATGTCCACTACATAAAGAATCAAATACAATATGCTAAAGCCAGCAAAGCAAGCAAAGCACAGCTTTCTTCATTCCATTGCCATGGCAGCAGTTTTGCCTGTGGAGCCTGAGCAAGGCACTTACCAGAAAGAGATTGCTATTGTGAGGGCACACCTGGAGACTTGTGACCCCCAAAGCTGGAGTGCTGACCCTGAGCAAGCCTGTGTAAGGCACAGAATCTTTTTAAGTGTCTTCCTGAAAAGAGATTTGAAAAAGACTCAGGTGAAAGAAATATTTTTTGGAGCCTGCAAAAGGCTGCAGCAAAGCGAGGCCAAAATGATTGCAAACTGTATCCATGAAGTGAAGAAATGGCTGGTCAAAAAATGGAAAAATTTGAAGACTGGAGAGAAGACACATCCAGGAGTTCTTGCCCTTATGCATGCAATTTTTGGAGATGCTGCAGAGGGCAAGGCGAATGACAAGCCTGTGCAAGGCATCAAGAGGAGACTGACTTCCAAATCTCCACCAGCCAAAAAGAGCACACCCATAAAGATTGCAAGGGATGCTGGTGTCTTGGACATCAGCAGTGAATCTGGTGAGAGCCTGCAGAGCCTGGGCAAGGCATCAAGCATTCCTAGTCTGATAGCAGGTGTCCCTTTACACAATGCAGTTGTGCTGAGGAAGCCAGCAGGCTCACCCATGAAGAAGCCTGCAGCAGGGAACAAAAAACCTGCAGCTTCACCCAAAGCCTGTGCAAGGCAAACACGCATTGCAGAGCCTGTTAGGGCCTGTGCAAGGCCAGCTGTGCAAATGGCTGAGCATGGGGCCTGGAAAGCTTCTGTGAATTTTTCTTGGGTGAAAGCAACCTTTGCAGCCAAAAAGGCATACATTGTCGCAAGAGACAACCACCAAAGCAAGCCACAATGCCTGGTCAATTTGAACATGGAAAAGGGCCCAGAGCAAAGCCGACTGATGCAGATACTTCTGGACAAAGCACAGCACCAGCAGGGCCTGAGCAAGGCAGAACTTGTGCAGATCAAGAATAATTTGCTCAAGTGTGCCATAGATGTGGATTAGGGACAACATATTCCAGCCTGCGCAAGGCATGATACAGCCAAACCAACAAGGCATGATACAGCCAAACCAGTGCATTTCAAGCCTGCGCAAGGCAAAGCAATAGGTGTTTTGTTTTGCATATTTTCATTTTCACCCAACAGCCTGAAACAGGCTACAGTTCTTTGATTAAAAAAGACTAGGGTGAGTTGGTTAGGTCAAGGGTTCACCTCAGTTGGTTAGGTCCACACACAAACACAGAAGTTAATCTGTTGCTGTTGGCTCAAAAGCTAGGGGTGCAACTGTTTCTTTGGATCTAGATTTGCATTCCCCAGCACACCAACCAACACTCCACCACACACACACCAACTCACAGCCAAGCATTCTCCAACACACAGCCAAATACAAACTACACAAACTACACAAGTCACAATAAGGATGCACAACTTTAAGTCACACAAGGGCACCTAGCTAAGGCACATAATTAAGTCATGCTTTCACAACTTCCCACAAACTTCATACAATTTCACAATTTCACAGCATAGCTCCATATACAACCACAACTTCAGCACACATCATATACCACTTCACAAACTATAGACACTACAGTGTAGACCGCCACCTCTTTAGGTGGATCTGGAGCCATGGCCACAGGGTTGCTGTGGGTGAGCCTGTGTAAGGCTTTGCTGGTGGCATGTTTGATGCCACTTGCCACCAGCTGGAGCCTGAATAAGGCTTTGCTCTCAATGGCCTTCCTTGAGCCTGCACAAGGCGGTTTGAAGTGGTGGAGGGTGAGGGAGTACAAGGGCAAAAGGTACTACCTCTCCTTGAAAGGGAAATGGTTTCCTCTGGATGAAGAGGATGAGGAGAGCCTGGATAAGGCAATCCAAGATGATTGGACTCTGGGTGCC